ATGGGAGAATATGCGTACCTTTAAGTATTTAGAATAACAGCTGTTTCCCTATGGAAGCTCACTTTTTAACAAGTAAGTTTTTAAAGAGGAATGGGGGCTGGGATAAAAGTTTAATTTTAAAGTTTACTAAATTAATACAATTCCTAGTGCATGCTGCCTATTTATTCATGAAGAGTTTATATAACAATGAAAATAAACTTGGACTGCTATATTTTACCACTCTTTGTAGTACATTGACAAGAAAATAAAAATCAGTGTACCTGCTGAGAAAGACTTCTCTTAGAAAGGAATAAAAGCCCAACTGGTATTATGGGTATTTCATTTGCACTCAATCAAGAAGGAACCTATGTGTGTGCGTGTGCATGTGTGTGTGTGTGTGTGTGTGTGTGTGTACTGTATTTTCTAAAATATTGTATTAAAAAACACCAGGCTGTCTTATAGCTACAAGCTGTAGTTCCTCTCATCATTTTTAGCATCACTTTAAAATGTCAACATGATAAGTTGATAAACTTCAAGGTCTAAACTAGAAAGAATGTGTGCCTTGTTTAAGGTTATTATGCTGTGATTATTGAGATGGACATGATTATTCCTGCAGTGCTATGAATGGCATTGTGGCCCCAAACTGAGAAGGCAGGAAGGAATTTGAAGAACAAGACTTGGCTGTCATTTTATTCAAAATTTCAGTCTTTTATAGAATTCTAATCTTCATGGCCATCCATACCTTTACACTGTCCATTATTCAGACAGGTTCAGTTTAAGAAAGGAGTTCTTGTCCAAATTCTTTGAAAAAGTGCACCAGAAAGTCCTTTAATTTTGCTTGAGTAGATCAGACAATTTTGGGTACAGTTGTAAGAGATATCAAAATTTGTCAGAAAAAAAATGTGCGGCTTTTGCAACTAAATTCTCTCCTGAAAGGCACATGAAGCCAGGAACTGACAATGCAAGTTAAGTTTATAGTTAGAGCGGATTGTGCTAAAAGTTTCAATACCTCTGTAATAGCATGTCACTCGTTCCAGAAGCGAAACATAAGCAATAAAATTACCTAGTTCAAAAACTGAATACCCAAGTTAACAAGAAAGGTGTAGTTATCATAACTGTGCTTAATAGGTGGGTTTAATTCAAAAGACAAGCTTGCAATTATAAAGATGAAAACAATACCCTCTGAGTCACTAAGACAATTTCTGACTAATCCCCTCAGTAAACTAAGATAATTATTAGCTTATAGGTTATATTTCCATTGATTATATTTTCCTTAAATAGACGGTAAAATGAAAACAACTTGTGGGTAGAAACCATACTTATTCTCTTAATGTGTTTTAATCAAGTCCATTATTTTATAGTCTTTGTATTGTCAATATTAGTGAACACTGACAGTATATTCATGCTGTGTGCTTGGATTGGCTTGCTTTTCTTACTAGCTCACCATCGACTAGATGAGAAATACAGATGGTAAATGCTGATAAATTTTGAGAGTTTTTGCTATTGTCTATGTTGCAAAGTATGTGAAATCTATTTTGGAGTAGGAGACGTGACTTCAAAGATGGTTAGTGATTGATCGGTCGAAGGACTGTGGCATATTTTCATTCTCAGAATTTCTTTCTTAGAATGCCCTAAGTCGTCGTTAGGGGACACCTGTAAATTTCAGTATTGCCAATTTCCTACGTTCAATGTTGAGAGTATTTTCTACATTTAATATTGGTCAAACCCATATTCCCTTGAGTCTTCATGGAATGTGTACTTCACAGATGAAAGGAAAATTTAGCTGCTAATATAACATTTCAGTTCTCCAAAGTGACTAGCAAGTTAAAGTATATCATGTTAAGAATAGAAAAGCGTATTTTTAAAAATGAGATGAAAGACACTCAGAAAAGAAGATGATAGCATGGAAGATACCCCTATTTTACTCTTAAAATCGTAAGTACTCAAATGCACAGAGTGCTAAAGTAGTTAACAACTTGCTGACCCTCTTCTGTGAGCCATGTTCGCTCATTTTTTTTCACATTGTTTCTCGAAAATTCCATGATCTTTCGTAAGATCCTGGGAATTAATAAACCCAACATATGTGTTTTGTGGGTATATAAATTTTAAAGCATTTATAATTCAAAATTAAAGTAAAGGTTTAGAATATATCCATAAAAAAGAAGTTGATTATAGAATAAGGAGTCATAATGACCCCTTAAATGTAGCAACTAGGAGTTGCACGGGCTCTCCAGATGAGTAATTGTCATGGAGAAACATCCAGAAAGGCTGAAGACTCTCTTTCTTGCTTCTACAGTTTCTTTCTGGAATCTAAGTTATAAAAAAAAGTTCTAGGTCCCCATTATAGTTGAACTCCAATTATAATGATTGGGAAAGAAAGGGAAGGATGGTACATACGGTATATGCTAAGGTACAAGGTTTTCTAAAATTCATATACTATGGAACCATAGATTTCAATGGCTGAGATACATAATTATTTTTAAAAGTGAAATAAACTTCATGTACTATACAAACATTACAAACTTTCTAATGTGGCTTTTTCAAAATCCTTCAGAATATCCATATTAGAATTATAACTCATATGTAGGTAATTAGTGTACATGCATACACTTAGATTTTTCTCACTATTAACAGTTTTCTGGTTGGTTTAATTTGAAATAGTAGAGCTTATTGAGGCAAATACTACCTCAGGATGGTAATTATAATGTAATTTTCCAGTCTTAAAGGATCTACATATGTTCATTAGAGGGGATACATTATTTTTAAACATTTTAGATTTAGCCATATTTGCCTTGTCACTGTTGCCATATGAATGAAGGCTATCAGAGCATTTTCTTACTATAGTGAGACAATGATAAGTGTACATACAGAAGCAAAGTATAAAACTTTTGGAATAGAGAGATTTCTACCATACCGATATGCCTGCTGACAAGTGTCTCATGGCTAGTATTTTTACATTCCGAGTTTCAGGTTTAAAAAAGAGGCATTTTTAATTCTCAAATATGAAAATGTGATGTCTGTGAACTTCTTTGGGGACATATTTGTAAGTTCACTATATTTCTGTTAGCTTCTGGCAGAATTCACTCAATTTAAGTAATGATGAAGGACTTTTGAAATAAGGTGTGTGAAGTATAGAAAAATGTATTCGAGTATTTCAGAAACATTAAGACAATGCAGTTTGTCATTACTTCAAAACGACCAGTTTATCCTCAGAGAACACAAGCAACTATTTCGCTCTAATCTACCTTTAGTACAAAAATATATTTTCATAATTTTGGTTCATACACACCAAATGAAGAAGCATGTTTAACTTTTGTGTGCACAGTCCTCAAAATAAGTAAAGTACTTAGTAATAACTTCTTTCAGTGGTGGCATTTACATTTAATGACAAACATGATGATTGCTTTTCCTAATAGTGTTTTAAATTTTTATAAAGAAGAAAAATTTGGTCTTTTACTAGCAAAAATTGCTCAATATACATTAGATTTTTTAAAAGTTATTTTTAAAACTACTATTGGATAAACCAAAGTTCAATAGCTTTAAGAAATTTTGAGCTTTCAATGGCAGTTCTTGCTTTTAGTTTGAGGTGGTTAAAGGTCAGAAAAGATTACCATCTGGTACAAGAACTAGCTTATATTTCCCTCTTAAATCTGAGCTCCCATTTTCTTAGTGTTTAAACCTTTCTCTGGCAATAATTTGGTACACTGAGTTTTCACTTAATGAATCTGACCAATATTGCACATATCTAAAAAGCATTCTAGGGCTTTTTAAAAAATACAACATTAATGATAAAAAATAATGCAAGAAATAGCAAAACTGAAAAAAGAAACAGAGTCTGGTTCAATTTAACCAAGAACTCTGTCACATATTTAATTACACTTAATTACTCTGCACAAAATGAGTTAATGCCCCATTGTAGTTGAAATAATTCCATGGGGTTGCTGATACAGTTTAAGTAAAAATTTTATTTAAAATTATTCACATCTAGTGAATGGTTTAATATATTGAAATCGCTGATTCAGAAATATAAAAACGATCAATCCTCACTTTATAGAAATGACTTATTTGTATAATTTAAAATTAAAATCTTCCCTCCTTACATTTGAGGCTAAGAGTTTGAACTCATATAACTTTGATGGGAAAACTGTTCTTATTAAAAAATCCTTCATAAATCCATTTTTATTTCCATTAAATTCATTTTATCAAAATGTAAATACTATAATCCCAATGAACTTTAAAGTCTCATTCTAAGCTAAAATATAAAAGTGTTACTGAACTTTGTTCAATTATATCAAAACATTAAACATAATTATGTACAGACAATTAAGCAGCTACTAAAAAACTAACAAAACAAGGGTGCTGGCTTTAATTTTTCAGTTTGGCAATAATTTAAAATACATTGTTATAACACTTAGTTTAAACACAATAATGTCTTTTTCAGTATTTCCCCCTTCATTCATATAAAGTTAAGAAAACTAGATGTTTTATATAATATGATCTCTTAAGCCATTCACTTCAAATTTCCAAAGAAGGAAATTGAGTATTATAAAACATTAAATTTAGTATTTAATAAAAGTTTTTTTATTTTAATCTTCTAACTTGAATATGTTTTGTTATTATATAAGTTCACCCAATGGTATTTGTATATATAGTTCTCTATTACTTGATTTGAGTTTTCCACTGAATTAACTGATTATTTTTCTATTTTGCAACTACAGCGTAAGAAAATATTTTAAAGCCTCAAGCTACTGATCTCTTTTTATCTTCAACATTTCTCCTTTTTCCTTTTATAAAGTTTGTTATGCAAATTGTATTGTTGTAAGATTTAATATTATTAACTTAAAAATCAAGGTAGTTTTCACATGTACTATTATGTGATATTAATATAACATACAAACACATTGGCAGTAACACTTCCACTTATGTGATTTACAGTGAAAGAGCAGATAATCTTAAATTAATATGAAATAGAATGTCCATTATATATATATATATATACATATATATATATACACACAGTATCCATTTAAAGAATATTAATCTGCCTCATGACTTTGCACAGCAAATCATAATAATATCTTGCTCTATGCCATTTTAATACAATGGTCATCACTGTACACTACACACACACACACACACACAGACACACATACCTATGGCAAAGACACTTCCTTTTGAATTAACTGTTTGCACTTGCATGTCTCTGGAGACTTAATCTTATTGCTGATGAATATCCTCATGTCTAAGAATTTTATAAATAACCCAGTAGAAAATATTAAAAATCAAAAAGGCTAATGGGAAGCAGGCTCTGGAGATAGTATCGATTTTCTTAGCCCGGTCGATAAAGACCTTTTTCATTTCATCAGGACTTTTCGGCATCACCTGGACAGGATGGTTAGGGCCCTTGGGGGTCACGCTGTCTTTTGCTTGCAGACACGGTCCCATTCCATAGGCTGTGAAGCTGAATCGACTTTCCCTTACTTCATCATCCTGTCATAAGAAAAACAGAAGAAAACATTTTAGTCATGGAATAGAGCATATATAACAGGCATTTCAGAATCATAACTTAAGCTTCATTATGATAAATGTTAATTAACATTATTATAATGAAAAGATAATTTAAGCCTATAAAGATGAGTTGTTTTTCTCCCATTTAAGTTTTATTTATTGATTCTGCTGCATCAAATAGATATGACCATTAGGAAATCTGAAACTTTCAAATGATATGTTTTAATGGAAAAACTAAACATTCTGGTATTTTCTATATATTGCTAGAATACCTAAATAAACTGAGAAAGAAAAAAAATCTATTGGGATAGGAGGTTATATACTAAATTTTTATAATTATGTGTCTAAAAGGGAAATATATGATGTCAAAGTGGAAAATACCAGGATCATTGACTGAATTTTTCTTTTTTATAGAGGCAAACTTTTTAATGCTAATATCCTACAATTTTACATTACTTTGTTGGAAAATACAGTCTAGCTCAACAACATTGCTTGATTTTTGTTGTCTTCTCTTAATGCTATGCCTGTGTTTTACACTAACCCATTTGGAAGACTATAAGATAGTTACATATTCTGGTTTATATAGTTACTTTTCAAGTGCATCCATTTAGTTGAAATTATGAATAAAATTTGCAAAATTTTAATTCATGTGAAAGAAAATTGTAAATTTTTATTATGTTTATAAAGTATTGTTGCAGGGCTGGCCGAGTGGCCTAGTTGGTTAAGAGCTCGCTCAAGAGTGCGAGCTCTGAGTAACAGGGTCACCAGTTCAATTCCCGGCCCAAGCTGAGCTGCCACTGAGCTGCCAACAGGTGGCAGGATGGCTCAGCTAAAAAAAAAAAGGATTGTTGCTTTTCTCTTAAGTGTTGCAAATGGAAGAGAATTCTCTATGTATTACAGGAAAAGAAAACCAAAATTTAAAGAAAAATTATTTAATAAAAACATAAATAAAATGTTCATGTTAGGAAAATAAGGTACTTAATAATTTGTAATAAAATTCGTTAATGAATAATTTAGTTTAACAAATTTATTTAGAATATCACAGTAGATGGCTGCCGATTAATTGGATATTTTGCTACTAGAATTGAAAGTTTAAAAGATGACATTTTACAAATTTGTTATAGCTCTCCTCTTATGGAAATAATTTTTATGGTAATATAAGAGGTAAAAGTAATTAAGGGCTCAACTCTTGAAAAATTATTTTGAGTTTGTGAAAGCAGAAGCTCAATGAACAGTATATTACAAAATATAAAAGTAAAAAACAGAAACTAACAGTGTATTCTAAAAATTGAGAAGATGATCAAAGTTGATGTATTAATGGATAAAATAGGTTTCTGGTGAATTATGAAGTAAAGCAATTCCACCTGAAAACAAAAATATATAATTATTGGAAAATATCTCAACTGTAAGATATATAAGCAATTGAATTTTGAGGAAACAAGTATGACATGAAAACTGATGCTCCAAATTACATGTAACTACTGTTGTAATCTTGCAAAAAAAAATTTGAAATTGATTTGCCAATAGTCTTTAATAAGAATGTTCGTTTATACTGGCAATTTATTTAGCTTTGATGGAAATTTTAAGGCTGAATTTTATTGTTTGCTTTGAGTTTTCTATACCTTGAAAAAAAGGTGGGTATACTAAGAATTAAACTGTTTTTATGTAAGTGCTAAAATAACATTCTTATAATTTAGTAAATTCGCCTGGTGGTGTATTCCAGAAAGAAAACTTAGGTCACTTGGGTAATTTGTACAGATTTTGTGTGCAAACCAGCTGGATGCTGAAGTATAAAATAGCCTTTTAAACCACATCAACCCATGTGTTTAAAAAAATCCATCTAAAAATAGGACAAAACATAACTTCTCAATAAGCATTTACAATGAGGTGTTGACATATTAGTTGAACCAACTGAGAAACTGATTACAAAAATGCTAAGATTTTAGGATTCTAGCTTCTGTGCTTAGTAAAGTTGTATCCATTGACTATCTTTTTTCCAGTTTTATTAAGAAATAATTGCTGTATATCACTGTATAAGTTCAAGGTATAAAGCAAGATGGTTTGACTTATATATTGTGAAATGATTACAGTAGGTTTAGGTAACATCCATTATAGATAAAATAAAAAGAAAATAATTTTTTCCTTGTGATGAGAACTCTTAGGAATCTACTCTCTTAACCACTTTCCTATATACCATACAGCCGTGTTAACTAGTCACCATGTTGTACATCACATGCCTAGTACTTATTTATCTTATAACTGGAAGTTTGTACCTTTTAATCACCTTCCTCCATTGATTACCTTTCTAACCATCTATTCTGGAGAACTGATTATTTTCAAACCTTTAGCAAACCCTAGACCTCAAAACAGGGACAATAATTTTAAGATTTAACATATTTAGTGAACTGGATTTTTCTCAGCTGTATCTTTCCACATGACTGACTGTGAGTAAAGGGTTAACATCAGGCCTGAGCTGTTTCAGAACTGTTGAGAATGAAGGCTGATTTCTTCCAGCATCAGTTCCTTGAAAATACCAGAGTTGAGCTAAATATGGAACGTAGAGTTTGCTTCAATTACTGTGAAGGAGGACACCTGCGCTGAGGAGTGGTACAGTGCCTGAAGGTCTTGGGCCTATGTGACCAGTTGGTATACAAGTTTGGTGGAAAATAAGGGCTGTGGCTTCTGTGTGCCAAAGTGATCACATACGCCTCGCTGTTTGTCTGTGGCAGCTGTATGTATATGCCTGAGTAAATGAGGGGCAAAGGAAGGTGTGCTCTTGAGTAACTGCCAGGCCTCCTGATGAGATGAAGATGCTGTGTCTGATGTGCCGCCTGCCTCACAGGCTCCTGTAGGATGTTATATTAGGTTAAAGCTTGCTGTGCATGAAGGGTCTCCTTGGCAATTTGAACTCAAAATCTCAGCAGTGGTGACAGAAGCTGACCTGGCTTTCAGATCATTTCAGAATAAATATGGCCAAAAGTTCTGGGAGAGGGTTCTGGTGAGAACATGGATATGCCCTGGGTTTGAGGTAGCAAAAGTTCTGTGGAAAATAACAGGATAAATCTTCCTAATGGAATATGGATGATGCAGACATTCCTTGTTAAGTTAGCAGATGGGTGATCAATGAGATAAAACTGAGGGGAAACTAGCTCAAGGTATGATTAATTCCTTGTCTCCTATTGGTTATCTGTGAAGCTGAACCCACTTAGGGAAAGGGTAACAAGAGCAAGTAAAGCAAGCAGCTTCATGGCCTGTGCTGAAGACGAAAACAAAAGTCCACTTGGGGCTTGAAAGGACATTGCCCTGAATCTTGATGTCACGTCTCTGTAACTCCAGGCAAATATCACTGAAAAGTGGTAACTATCATGCAGCCCTGTCCAACAGAAACATATTTTGAGCCACAATGAACGCCATGTGTGTATTATAATTTTAAATGTCAACTTTCTATTAGCTACAGCTTAACAAGTTAAAAGAAGCGGGCACAATTAATTTTAGTCATACATTTTTTAACTCAATATGTCCTAAATATCATTTAAATATTTACTGAAAGTAAAAGTTAAAGAGATATTGTACATTCTTTATTTCCTACTGAGTCCTTGAAATCAGTGCATATTTTAACACACCTCAATTCAGACTCCATATTTCTAGGGCTCAATAGCCATGTGGCTTGTAGCCACCATACTGAAGAAAGCAATTACAACATAGATGAGCTGGGTCTCTCCATGCTTTCCAGGATCTTTAGGTTAATTGACCTAGGAACTGATCTTTTTTTTTTTACATGCTGCTGCATGCAAACCAATGTGTAATGTGAATTCTAACTCCTCACTTGCTGCAGTGTTGTCTTTCAGGAGTTACTGGCAGGCATATAATCAATCACCCTTTTGGAGTGAATGAAGCCCAGAGTGGTATGAATCTATGTTGAGAAAGGGAGCTGCCTGGTCCTCACTGCTGTGAAGTGGAACAGCCCTTTAGAAGAAGTAGCTATGTGAAGGGGAGCAGCAAGCCTGGACTGGCCATCTGATAATTAAAAACGAGCCTCCCCAAACCATATCCTCTGACCTCATCTCTGGAAAACACTGTGATTAAGAGAGCCCCTCAGGCATGGGCTCCCCATGTGGCTCTCCTTTTGGGGAGGCAGGAGGGTATATATAATTCATGGGTACATTTGTTTTTGCAGTTGCCGTGCTGGGTTTTACAGGTGGAAAAAAAATATATGTGGGCTATTCAGAAGAAAGGTCAAGGCCTTTCTTAATTTCTGAATGTATTAGCTCTCTTTAGGTGGTTTTTGAGACACAGAAGAAAATTGATAGGATTCCTCTGAAAGATTTCCTGGCACAGTATCACCAGCTGGGAGGAAGGAAATCTGTTTTGGTTCCGGCAGCTGCTTCCCTTAAGGACCCCTGTTAAGTGTGTTGCTTTCATCTCAGAAGTTAAATCCAATGATGCCAATGGAGAATGGAAACAAAAGGCATGGAATTTACTCCATCCACTTTAAAGCACTCGAAACAAAGAACATTGACTTGAAAGCCAGTGTCTCTTTGCCCAGTTCTGAAAGGGGTTCCAAGGCCATGCTGTGGTTCAAGTTGAATGGCTGGGGGTATGAACACAGCTTTTTGGGATTACTGGATGTCAGCATACAATGTGTAATAATACTGCTGGAGAATGAGAAGGCAATAAAAAGAAGCTGGTGGGGCAGAGAAGGAGGCGTGGTGATGCTGGGTAGCAGATAATGATGGTCATCATCAAAACTGCAGAAAGGAAAACAAGGGACTAAGATATATCCAGTAGGTGGCATCACCTTTGGCTAAATGTATAATCAGAAAGGATGTGACAAATGAGTGAATGATCTGGCTTGAGCCTAATCTTGGGCAATTGTTCCTTAGCCTAGTTGTAATTGGATGTACTAAGATGAGAGCCCTTAGAATTGCCTAAACTTTCCTCTGAGAGTACATTATTAAATGGTACATGATTCCAGGCAGATA